GTCTCTTGTCCCATGAGCGTACAGTTCCCTATGAAGCCTGCCTCACACAGCTTTTCTTCTTTCACCAGTTGGTTGGTGTGGACTGCTTCCTGTTGACAGCCATGGCTTATGACCGATTCCTGGCCATCTGCCGGCCCCTCACCTACAGCACCCGCATGAGCCGAACGGTCCAGAGGATTTTGGTGGTTGCATCCTGGGCTTGTGCCTTCACCAATGCACTGACGCACACTGTAGGCATATCCACGCTCAACTTCTGTGGTCCCAATGTGATCAATCACTTCTACTGTGACCTCCCCCAGCTCTTCCAGCTTTCCTGCTCCAGCACCCAACTCAATGAGCTGGTGCTCTTTGCTGTTGGTTTCATAATGGCAGGTACCCCTATGTTTCTCATTGTCACCTCCTATATCCATGTGGCAGCTGCAGTTCTACGAATCCGCTCAGTGAAGGGCAGGAAGAAAGCCTTCTCCACATGTGGCTCCCATCTCACTGTGGTTACCATATTCTACGGTTCAGGTATCTTTAACTACATGCGACTAGATTCAGCCAAGCTTTCAGATAAGGATAAAGCTGTTGGGATTTTTAACACCGTCATTAACCCCATGCTGAATCCAATCATCTATAGCCTCAGAAACCCTGATGTGCAGGGTGCCCTTTGGCGTGTGCTCACCGGGAGGCAGTCACTGGCTTGATAAGATCTTGAGTGTCGCTTCCTCCTTTTTCATTTTAGACTAAAGGGAAAATCCTAATGGTCCAGAACTGCTTCTATCTCCCTGAGCTAGGATTCTTTTTTTTTAGGGGATAATACTTATTGTTTCCCAAAGAATTCTTGACCAATTATAGGTAATGGGTGTATAAGTTAATGCTCAGTCAGTCCCCTTGACAAATTACAACTTCAGTCACTGTGTGCTCCCTTTTCTGGGTAGAAGTGAAACCAAGGAAGCCCTGAATGCTTACAGGTTTATGTCCCACAGGGAATGACTCTTTGATTGGATATAGCCTGGATTCCCCAAAATATCTCAGCAAACCTTCCACCCCCCAATACTCACCCCAGGGGGTCATCTGATTCCTTCAAGTTCAGGTATGGTTAGTCTGTTTATAAAACGTAGGCCTAGAGATGAGAGTTATTTTATTTCTCGCATCAGGCTTCTACAAGGCTAAAAAAGCTGCTCATCTGTTCCCTATCACACAAAGATACCAGAGGATATAGAGGGGACACATGGGGAGCTCTATGGCCATGTGTTCTCTAGTAACTCTGAAAAGCATGATCCCTGTGTGAAAAATTCTAAAACTTTATTAACACGCATGATAAATATTATAATACAAAAATAAAATATCCTCATTTATCCCTCCTCATGTTTCAAACCTTTTGAAAAGATAAGCATTCACAATTGAAATATTATTTCAACACTAAAAAGTCAGAATACTCAATGTAAAATTCCCCTCTAACTTCTTACACAGTCCCCAAACCTCCTAGTTAAGACAATCCATATCTGTAAATACAAGTCTGTTGTATTTGGTAATGCCTCACCCTAAATTTCTCTTATCAGTAAGAAAATATGTCTCTAACCTAGAAGAAGGTCTCACCTTGATTGCTGCTCACCAACCTTTAGTACAGTATCATGTAGATTAATTTTCCTTCTAGCATCTTTTTAGGGCTAGTTGCCCATTCCTGGCATCTCTACTGTGCCACTGATGTTTCCCAATTAATTTCCCTAAAACTTTTTGATCAGACAAGTAGAGTTAACAGGTGCAAGCTAGTGAGCTGGCAGAATGGGATAGGCAAAGAGTTAACAGGAGTGAGCTTGTAGGTTAACAGGAATGAGATTAAACATTAACCACTTGGCTCTGACTCCCCTGGCTAGCACTGCACCTGCAGGCTGACAAGCACCTTACATCCATCATAGATGAGAACTAAACAGTTCCCAATCACAAAAGCAACCCCCTGCAAGCTGACATCCATCATAGATGGGAAGAGGGCAGTTCCCAGGAGAAGACAATTGTAACGGCAGCCTCCTGTCCCCTCCATCCCCACCCCGCAAATTGACGAGCACCCTACATTCTGCTTAGAAAAATATAAAACCCCAGCACTCCTCATCCGTGCAGCTGTTCCCCATAGGACTCTGCCCTGGGTAAACTTTTGCCTCTCTCTCTCTGTCTCCCTCTCCCCCACCCCCTCCCTCTCTCTCTTTCTCTTTTTCAATAAATCTTTTCTCTGGATACTCTTATAGAGTCTCGTAAATTCTTTTCACATTCTGCAAATGACCAGGAATTAATTATATGCCAAGATGCTTCCCTTTGGCCTGCACCTGTGGCTTGGCTTCTCCATGATACTTTATGGGGGTGAAGGAGTTGGGAGGATGGGACAAGATGGAGGTGAAGGGAGAGGGCATGATACAGGAAAGCAAAACAAGGGGAAGTTTGTAGAAAAAATGAAGATGAGAAATAGGGAGAAATAGGATAGAATTTCAAGCAAAAGGGGTTGAGTAGAAAGGATAAGAGAAGACTGAATGAGGTAGGGATAGAGTGAAAAGTGAGAAAGAATGGAGGAATTGGATAAGATTCCTTGAAACTGGTAAAAGACCAGAGGAAGGAATTGGGGTAATAAAATGTGGGCTTCCTATTCTGTACTGCCCAGCAACAACCACTTCTGGCAATTCTAACATCATCACTGTAGTCTATTGCCTCTACAAAAAATAAAGTAATATTTTAAGTTTTTATAAAAGTGCTAAAAAGTGTACAGGGGACTCATTTTCTGCTTCTCTAAATAGAAGGTGCTTTTAGAATATCAGGGAGAAAGTTTGTAATACTCTATATATACCAACAACAAAAGATGAACACAAGTCACATTTGACTTCTGCAATTACAAAAGGTGCTCAAAGTGGCTACTANCAAACCGGGGCCCTCTGGCGTCCCAAGCCAGTTCTTAACCATCACGCCACTCGGCCGGTCCTATATGTAATGTTTTAATATTTATATTTTATTCTTTAAACAATTTTATTTTATTTTGGGGGGGAGTATCTTTTATTTTTATTGTGTTTTTATTTTTTTAATTTTTCAATTATCATTGACATTCAATATTATTTTATATTAGTTTCATGTGTACAGTATAGTGGTTAGACATTTATATAATTTATAAAGTGATTCTCCTGATAAGTCTAGCACCCACCTGGCACTATACATAGTTATTACAATCTTATTGACTGTATTCCCTCTGCTGTACTTTTACATCCCCATTACTATTTTGTAACTACCAATCTGTATGTCTTAACCCCTACTCCTTTTTCACCTATTCCCCAAACCCTTCCATCTGGTAACCATCAGTTTGTTCTCTGTACCTATGAGTCTGTTTCCGTTTTGTTTCTTTTGTAACCACATCTTCCTTCTAAAAGTTCAAAAAAACTAATTCCACCTAAAGATGAGCAACAGGAAAAGATTGAGTATACTAGAAAGAGTGTGAAAAAGTGTGCACTCATAAATTTTAGGGGAAATTTTTATTGGGGCGAGCTTATTAGAGAACAATTTTAAGCACCTATAAATTAAAATTTTCATTTTTTTGAGATAATTCCACTTTTTTTAACATACAATATTATATTAGTTTAAGGTATACAGCATAGTTATTCAACATTTATATACCTAAGGAAGTGATCACCATGATAAGTGCAGCAACCATCTGACACCATACCATGCTATCATAATATTATTGACTATATTCTCTATGGTGTACATTATATCCCCATGACTTATTTGTTTTATACCTGGAAATTTGAACCCTTCATTCCCCTTCACCATTCCCCCCTTTCTTAATTTTCCAATTACAGTTGACATTCAATATTATTGGTGTCAATAGGTTGTAAAAGCCCCTTACTGTGATTGTATTACTGTTGCTCTCTCCCTTTATGTCAGTCAATACTTTCTTTTTATATGTATGTGCTTCTATGTCGGGTGCATAGATGTTTACTAGGGTTATATTCCCTTGTCAGATTGATCCCTTTATCATAATGTAATGTCTTCTTTTGTGTCTTATTATAGTCTTTGTTTTAAAGTCTATTTTGTCTGATATAAGTATTGCTACTCCAGTTTTTTGTGTTTTCCATTTGCATGAAATATCTTTTTCTATCCTTTTACTCTCAGGGTGGGTTTTCAGGGAGTCACCAGGGTGGGGCATGTGGAGATCACCAGGCTAATTCGGTCTCAGATTTGGCTGTGTGTGGGAGGGCTCAACATAGGAAAGATGATGCCTGCCTACAGGCTGTTCATGAGGCATTTAGCCCTCCTCTACTTCTTGAATCCAGCATCACAGAAGGTAATGATGCCATGCTATGCACCCTATTCCCATTATT